GCTTATTCAAAAAAGCAGAATTATATTAGATATGACATCATACTGTATTCGGGTTGTAGGTCTGTCGTCACAAAGCAGCTATAGTTCATTGGTGTGGATAATCTACTTTTCACCTATAGGTTACAGGTTTGAACTCTACTACATCTATGGAGGTTTGGCCACCCAGGGTCTATCGATGCTTCTCACAATACTAGATTATTGTGACCTCATTATTGTAGGATCTGTATAATACATATTGTCCTACAATTATCATTGAAGTGTTAGGTAATTAGGCTCTATTTTATCTACCAAAATGTTTTTTTCATTCCTACTTGGCTTCTGCATCTGGTAGAGCTCATAATCCTGCCGATGCTGATAAATCTCAAGTCATCTTCAAGATAGTGAAGCGCGTTGTCTTCCCTGTTGCTATTTTTGGGCTGTAAGGGGATCACTGGAGCTAGGTAAAATTCTCTGTTAACTTATTTATTAAGCATATGTGTCGTAGTAAAGCAGTGTTATATATTAGATAACCTCTCTGAACACAATTGACAGTTTAAAGTCAAGTCAGTGTTCACTCTAAGTATCTGAATAGTTCCACTACACTAATAATAAAACGCAAGGGGGAAGAGAATTGGACCTGTAGAAACCAAATATCCACATTGGAGTGTTACCAATGCATGAATAGCAAACTGAAATAACTGTAGATATTCTAAATGGGAAATGAATAGTTAGGCGAAGGTGTATAATACTGAACTGAGTAGTTAGAAACTACTGAAACTGATTTGTAGATTTCGCTAACCATATCAAAGTGATCTGCTTTCCGGATGGCCATTTCATTCGTCTGGTACCAAGGTTGTTCATTTGGAAAGCTACTTTGTGAGCAGTGTTGATATGGATTGTGCAGCTTGTAAATAACTTGCAAATCGGTCATTCTATATTCACGTGTCTTCTTAACTAAGAACGCTAATAGCTGAATATACACTGGCATTCTAGTCAGTTTTTCTCAGTGCAACTCTAATGCTGAAGTAGTAATATTTGATGGTGAAGATCTTGGATATATTCCACTGTCATTTAATGGTATATAACTGTGATTCTACGCAAGAAACTGTTTCTTAATGAGCACAGATTAAGTCTGTGAAAAGAGCAGGAAAATGTTGGCCTTCAAGTTAGGGTCCTACGAAGGGCTAGAAGAGATGACTGGAAGCTTTTCGGTCACGTTGCTCGTCATTCATCATATTTGCCGAGATGGACCAAAATCTTGCCTTTCTCAAAACCGTAATGTCATTCTGTACGGTTCTGAATTACTTCTAACGATAGGGCATTCACTTTTCATAATGTCTCTTTCCAGCCTCCAACTCAGTGCGCTGATGTGATGTGTAGCCGCTTAAACCATTCAGAATGGACCTATGGATCTATTTTGTTGGAATTTGTCTGTATGTTTATCTGGCTAATGGACTACCAATAGATATGAGTTTATCTTTAATCAAATTACTGAGTTCTCTACCTGGATGAATCGCTTGACAAAATACAAATTCATCATAAGTTTAAGACACAATGGAAGTGAATGTTCAATTTTGTTCGGCAGTTAAATATTTCAGTTTAGATAAATAAAATTGGTTGTATTGTGTTTTTTAAGCTGGGTTGTTAAATCGTAGAGCTTTCATTGTCTTTCTAGACGATATCATCAACACTAAATAAACTCCACATGTTATCAAGTTTCCAATCGTTTGATTATGATTTGTCCATGTGACTTTAAGAAGTGCACATATCATCTCAGGATTATGTTAGTCATTTAAGGGTTACACATTTCATGCAATATAACATGTCATTATGATTCCTACTTTGATTATTTTCAATTCTATTCTAGCTGTCTTGAGTATTCAATGATACAAAATGGGGTAGTCCAATGGTTCCTATGTTCATTCTTATTAAGAAGACAGTAATGAAGAAATTTCTTCTTTGTATTATTGAATGCTTGAGTTCCTATTGTTTGAGGCTCGTAGAGGCTGATTTATTGAATTGTAGTATTCATCACAAGCTAACATCAGCTAAGAAACCGTTGAAAACCATGGAACACTAGAGTCCGCCAGAAGTGAAGGTGCTAACTTTGTCTCTTAGCGAGGTCATGGGCACCAACTACTGAAGAGTACCATCGTGGGACTAAAGAGCTGTTCAGAACTTCTACGTTTTCAGCAGGTCTACAAATGATGTCAATATGTATTGGGTACTACCCTGAAATCCATATTGTTTCAAATATTGTGCAATACTATGCAGTGCATTTTGGCCTCTGACTGGAAATTATTCTGGAATGTCCTATCCATTCTGTTATATTTTCAAATAAGAGAATGAGTTTGTTGAAAAGAAAAATTCATGTTCGTTGCAATTGTCTTATCTCTTTTACTACTGTTTGATTTTGTTCGGTGAGGTAGAAAATGCCTCATCAAATGTCTTCTTCAAATCAACTTTTATAATGGGAATTGCACGATTTATTTATTTCCAGTATTGTTGTTTCGAAACCAACTTACCCCATTTTCATAGATTTCAAAAAATGAAGACAGAAATCAACCTCTGTGCCATCACTTAGTTAGAAAGAAAAGGATTCAAGCAAATGCTACTCTGGAGTTTACATATCGGAAGTCCAACCAGAGATACATGAATTGAAATGTTACTCCGTCAACTTAACTCATGGAACTATGTAAAACTGTCCACTCGTTACTTAGACAATATAACTAATAGAAAAGTTAAGAAAGCGGTACATGGTTGCACAACTGCGCCTTCTTTCTACTAATATTTGCATGTGTACAAAAATTCAAAATTACACTGACCATTGTAAAGTAACCAATTGTACATTATCGAGTCCTAAGTGCTGATTGAAGTCTTTTGATCACCTTGCAATGTGGCCACTAAGCTAGGATACTTACCATCCTAGTGCACACTGATATATATGAATTAGTTGGAATCAGTCAGCAGAAAGCCCTGAACCTAGGTTCTGTAGTTGTTTGTACCCCTCGACAAGGTGTATTTGCAGTCTCAGGGGAATTGATGTCTCCTCAGAGATTTGAGCATGCATCACACAGTACTATAGTCTCCAAGTAATTCAACATTCCCCTATTATGTGAGACCGCCACTCTCACTGGATATATATGTATATATATCAAGTAAGGTTTTATTGTATGACAACATAATACACAATATCTATTCTATTTTGTCCCCCAACACTAACTCCTTTTTTAAAACACACGTTGCAACTTTCAAATTTGACGAAAAATTGCATATTACTGATATTCATGTATAAAAAGCGAAACATTTTAAAGAGAATAAGATATCAAAAGACTATTTATATACTTACTAAACGACATGAGTATATCACGATGTAATGGAGCCTTGAAATTAATCTCTAGCGTTGTTAACCAAGGTGTAATCCCTGGAAATTTCTCACTAAATTGATTAGCTTCAGTTAAGAAGTTGACAAAAGAGCCTATTCCGAATATTCCATGTGGATGATAGCCCACTAGATAGTTTCTAGTTGCAGGGAACAATTGTTTTATGCATGTCAATTGTTGTCTACTCATAGGACTGTCACAGTCAGTTATGCTTGTCTGATTATCTCGTCTATCATTGTCATTATGGTCGTTATCATTCTCTTGACTGTTATCATGAAGATCGACGATAGTGCTGTCTTCAGGAACTCCAGATGTAGTATGTTTATCTTCTTGAGTGCTGTACAATTCGGTAAGAACAAGTTTTATCGGAAAGTAATCAGCTAAATACTTCCAGATAATGAGATTTCTAATAAACTTTTTTGGATGACTTCCTTTCTCTTCAGAGCCTTTATCAATTCGCCAATATATCCAATATGATGTCATCAGTATGAACAATATTAGAAATTGTGCAAATGAATAGAATAATTTTTCATTATTGAATACTTCATCATATGGATGAATAAGTATCTTCTCATTTGTAATAAATTCATTTCCAACTGTATAGGATAATTTCATTAATTTAATAAGTAAATAAAGCCACATTGTCCAGCATGTTGTAGCACTGAATACAAATATTAAAATAAAGCAAGTAACACTTAAGAATTGAAATAGTATTTCTTTCAATTGTATACGCCACTTTTGTTGAGATGAATACGACAAATTAGGAAGTATTTTTAAACAATATCCATACATTGTGAATGGTAGATGTATGTGTCTTTCAGGAAGCAAAAGTTGTTAAATCTTTGGTAATAATCTATGATGTGAATAATTATGCACCTGAGTAAAATACAACAGAAAAGTGATGTGTGACTGCTAGTGCATTTTGTTATGTGAATAAAAATGGCACCATCAAATGTAGTATTTATTTATTATCAATCCAATATGACTTAGACAATATACCATACTAAAATGTGATTGGTGACTTTTATGAGGCCTAGTGGGTGGACAGTAGTGGGTGATGAATGACCTTGACCAAATAATATCTGTGTGATTATTATTATTATTTCTCTGAAGTATGTTAACTACATTAACTACCAAATATTTATTACCTGAAAATATGATTTATTTTTTTAATTATTATTAGTCCCTTGGGTTCCTAGTGGAACATAGGGCTTCAGTAGCACGCCTCCAGTGACCTCTGTTCTCTGAGATCTTTTGAACCTGGTCCCACGACAGCCCAGAAGCTCTCATTTCCTGCTCGCACGACCTCCTCCATGTCACCCTTGGACGTCCAACTCGTCGCTTCCCATGGGGATTCCACTCGAGCAACTGGCCTGACGCGTGATGTCCTCAGTCGGCCTTCTCAGTGCATGGCCAATCCATCTCCACTTCTTCCTGCATATTTGTTGAGTGATAGGTTCTTGCTTCGTTGGTTCGTTCCCAGAGTTCCTTGTTGCTTATTTTTTCTGGCCATCTGATCTTCAGCAGCGAGCGTAAGCAGTTGTTGATGAATGTCTGTAGTTTATTGGAAATCCCTTTCGTGACGCGCCAAGTCTCTGAGCCATACAAGAGCACTGACTTGACGTTGGTGTTGAAAATCCGTATCTTGTTCCGCATGCTGAGTGCAGAAGATCTCCACACTAGTTTCAGGCTAATGAACGCCTGTCTTGCTTTTCCGATTCTGACTTTGACGTCCTCGCCTGTAGTTGAAACAGTGCTTCCTAGATAAGTGAAGGAGGTTACTTCCTTTAAGTTTCTCCCGTTGACAGTGATTGGAGTTTGTTGTTGTTGTTGGAGTTGGAGTTGTTGGTGCGGTATCTTCATCACTTCTGTCTTCTCTATATTCACCTGAAGTCCCGTCTTCGCTGCCTCTTCTATCAACTTGCTAGTTTTAGCCTGTAGATCTTCAAGTTTATGTGACATTAGGCATAAGTCATCGGCGAAATCCAAGTCTTCTAGGTTCTTTTCCGTCGTCCAGTGTATCCCCCTCTTCTCGCTGCCTACTGTTTGCTGCATGATCCAGTCCACCACAATCAAGAATATCATGGGGGATAGTAGGCAACCTTGCTTCACTCCTGTCTTCACTTCAAAGGCATCACTGAGCTTCCCATTGTGGATTACTTGGCATGTAGCATCTTCATATAGTTGTTGAATGAGGCGGATAAAGGTTTGCGGTACTCCGTAGTATTGAAGCAGTTTCCAAATTACCTCTCGGTCGACGCTGTCAAAGGCCTTCTCAAAGTCGATGAAGTTGAGGTAGAGAGGTGATTGCCATTCTATGCTCTGTTCTATGATGATACGAAGCGTTGCAATTTGGTCAGCACATGATTTGTACTTCCTGAAGCCTGCCTGTTCCGGTCGTAGTTTTGAATCCAGTGCATCCCTTAGCCTCTCCAGGATGATGCGGCTTAATATTTTACTTGGGGTGGACAGGAGAGTGATTCCGCGCCAGTTCTTGCAAGCACTGAGGTCTCTTTTCTTCGGAAACCCTTCTTCCAATAGCCAGGTACCTTCTCTTCCTTCCACACCTGCAATAGTGGTGTGGTGTGAGCATGGCCGCTGTTGTCTCTGCATCTGTTTTCAGTGCTTCTGGCGGTATTCCATCTGGTCCTGCTGCTTTCCCGCATTTCAGTAGCTTTATGGCGTTCAGGACTTCCATTTTCGTTGGGGGATTAATGTTCACTTGTAGTTCAGCGGCTGCAGGTGGTATTTCTGGACGAAGTGCAGGTGGTTGTGATGGTCGATTGAAGAGCTTCTTGAAGTGGTCGGCCCATCGTTTCCTTTGTTTCTCTTCTTTGGCGATTAGATTTCCTTCATCATCTTTTATTGGTTTCATGTGTGTTGATCTCTTCTTAGATAGCAACCTGGTTATTTGATACAATTTTGTCATTTCTCTCTTACCTGCAGCCTGTTCTGCTTCACTTACCAATGTGTCGTAGAAGTGTCTTTTGTGTTTGTGCGCACACTTCTTCACTTCTTTGTCCAGTGTTTTATACATTGTGCTCAGTTCATCTTGTCGTTGAGCATCCTTGCACTGGTTTATCTTCTGCTTCACCATCCTCCTCTCCTCTATCAGCTTCCAGGTATCTGTCGAGATCCATTCCTTGTCTTCATTCTTCTTCCTTCCTAATACTGTTGTGCAGGTTTCTTTCCACATAGCTTTCAAAGACTTCCAGTGTTCTTCCACACAGGTTTCTTCAGGGATGTTGCTCGATGTCTCCCATTTTGTCTTGATGGCTGCCTTGAAGATCTCCTTTGTAGTTTCATCCCTCAGTTTCCGAGTGTTGTACTTGAGTTGAGGTCTATCACCAGCTTCCTTGAAGGCTTTTAACTTGATTTGGAAGGTTCCTTGCACTAGATAGTGGTCTGAACCTACATCTGCTCCTCTTCTTGACCTTGTGTTAAGTAGACTGCGTCTCCATTTTCTTGAGATTGAGATAAAGTCGATTTGATTTTTAGTGTGTCCATCTGGTGAAATCCATGTCGCTCACTTTGTGGATATCCTTATGCTTGAACACACTGCCTGACTCCAATCACCAAATCGTTGAATGCGCAGAATTCTGCAAACAATTCTCCATTCTCATTCATTTCACCTAGCGCCTCTCGACCCATGGTTAGTTCTCTTCCCGTGTTGTCCCCTCCCAGTTTGGCATTCATGTCACCCATTAGAATGGATTTTGTTGTTGCCAACTGAGGTCTTGTCCAGTGTTGATTGAAGTTGTCTGTAGAATTCCTCCTTTTTCTCTTGCTCTGCATTATTTGTAGGTGCATACTGTAGCATTGTATGATTGTGACCTTCCTTCCTTCCTTTTGAGGTGAACCTTGCTGTCATGATCCTGCAGGAGGAGATTGGTTCCCACTGCATGAGAGAGAGCCTTCGATGCTCTTGAGGACATCATGATAGCCACCCCAAAACTCAGTGTGCTCGTGGTTGTCGTCTGGGTGACCGGAGTAGATTATTGATTCTCCAGTTGACAGTTTGGAGAGTCCACTCCCATTCCATCTGCTTTCGCAAATCCCAAGCACTTCGATGTTATACCTTCTCATCTCCCTTGCAATCTGGGCTGCCTTACTGGGTTCAAACATCGTGCGGACATTCCATGTCCCCTCGTTTACTTTCGCTTTCATCGAGAGTGAGAAGACACATCGGCCCAGGCAATTGGCTTCCCGAAGGCTTTCACCAACTGGCGTCATTTCGCCTCTCCGATTCCAGCGGGGAATAAGTTTGTTTTCATTTTTTATATTTTGTTTGTGCTTTGAAGTTTCTTTAGCGGTTAGATTTGTTTTCCGGTGTAGGGTTGCTAGCCCTATGCCCAACCTTCCCTCTTTACGCGGGCTTAGGACCGGCTAGTAACTAGTAAACTAGTTAACCAGGCGAGGTCCACCGGGGTGAAGGCACCCGTGTGGTTGCGCCACAGGATGAGACTGTATACCGTCCTGGTTTTAAAAAGCCTAGATGCGTATTCTGTTCTCTCCTGGAAAACCAATGTATAAATACCCGTTCAAATGACGGGTGTGTATCATGATTTATTTATTTGATATTTAATACACCAGATGACTTTCAAGTGCAAAATGTAAAATTGAGAATTCAAACGGTAACAAAATGACATACCAATTTGCAATCACTGAGATCTGATAGTTATAAAGTGAATTACCACTGGTACATACACCAAATAAAGGGTAGCTCTAAAGATCACTCTTGTAACGACTACAATAGGGAAATGGGTTTCTTGATATGATGAAAAAGCTAAAAATGTCCAGCCGACGTAAAAAATTCAAATCGGTTACGGCAGTGGTTATCATAGTGACCTTTCGAGTCATTTAGTAATAGTGGTTACTTTTACGTGTTACACTAAATAAAATGACCTATAGATTACTGGTTTGCTAACCCGTAGGCTGCTGGTTCGAGTCCAGCTAGAGTCTAAATTTTGATTTCATTTTCAGCCATCATCTGGTGCCAAAAATACTTTTTGTTAGGTCTTTTTATACCTAGAAAAATGATATAAATATGTTTAAGAATGCAAATTCTATTCACTTTCCTTTTAAATACCTTCCGACGTTTGTATGACTGATTCATTGAATCATAAAAGCTTGACTGAAAACGCCCTAGTTAAAGATTGATAAATCACGGGAAAGCAAACAATTCCACGTTGTCCAGTCATTAATGCTGACTGAATTCTGTCGATTATATCGCAGTGTAGCCACCAAGTTGGAAGGCACAATATTACGATGAATATAGATAGATGTTAGTACCATTTTTATTGATTTATTAGATTTATCACAAAGTGTAACAGTATTGTTTACTGGATTACGTTTCGGACATAATTTATTGTCCATAGTCGTCATATCAAGATAACTACACAACTTTGAGATATCCTTTATAGAGTCCTAATTTTCTCGTCTCTTTATGAGATGGGCACTAAAACTTTCCTAAGTCCGAAATAAGTGCTGAGTCATTCCTGTTGCATGTGTTAGGTGTTGATTCAATAAACAAAGATTCAGTTATCAATCTCTCTCTCCACCCTGTTATGTTAGTTTTAAGAATTTTCACCATGTCCCATCCTGTTGTGTGGTTGTGTAACTGCACGCATAACTATGACTGAGCTTTTTCCTAAATTCCTTACCTTACTAGGATCTACCAATTTTGACCTAGCTAAGTTTTTGTGTTCCGATAGCCTAATTGATCCTGGTCGACTACTTTGACCTATGTATTTGACCTTGCAATCGTTACAAAGGATTTAGTAAACTAAGTTATTCTGCTTAATTGGGTCAATAGGATCTTTTAACCTACAAAGCTTATTTCGAAGTGAGTTTGTAGGTTTAAATGTCACTCTAATCCCAGCCTTATTGAGAATTCTACGTAGTGTTTCTGAGGTGTCTTCTTTATATGGTAATACAGTGGAGGTTTGAATCCTCTATTCACAGTATTGCCGCTACTATTATTAACATCATTATCAACACCATTATTACCATTATTGTTTCTGTTATTATCACTATCATTACTACTATTAATAACTGCGTTAGTGGTATTTTTCTTACGATTCCTAAGGAGCTTATCAATTAATTTGGGAGGGCAATTGTTGATGATTAAGGCGTCTTTAATGTATTTGGTTTCTTGTTTTAGATCTTCTGTTTTACTAGGAAGTTTTTTGGCCCTGGAACCCTTCTAAATCAAGACTTAGTAACTCTTATGACTCGAAGCACAAATTAGATGACATACATTTAGGTTACAATGAAAAAATGGTTAGTTTTGATGTAGTCAGTCTGTATACCAAATACCAATCGATATGGCCCTGGAAGCAGTTAGAAACGAGCTCAATAATGACCATGAGATTACTCTACGAACTAAGGTACCAGTAGATGATATCATACTAGAAGTACAGCTATGCCTAACTTCCACAATGTTTAGGTTTCAGAATAAAATATAGAAACAAACAGAAGGAGTTGTCATGAGATCACCAATATTCCGTATTGTGGCTGACATATTTATGGATAGTTAGGAACGGATGGCTGTAGAAAAATGTAGTCAGGCTCCAAAAATATGGTTTCGGTATGTTGACGACACTTTTATAGTGCTGAAATTGGAACGAATACATAATTTCTTCACACATAAATTCAGTAGTCAACGCAATCCAACTCACCTATGGATTAGAAAATAGTGAAGGAGAATTAGAGATGTTGTATTGCAGAATAAAACGGAAACAAGACGGGAGTTTAGACACTAATGTCTACAGAAAATCTTCACACTCAAACCGTTACTTAGACTTCAAATCGTCTCACTCTATGCCAGTTGAAGTTAGCTTGGTAAAGTGTCTGAGTAACATGGTCAAAAAACTTCCTAGTAAAACAGAAGATCTAAAACAAGAAACCAAATACATTAAAGACGCCTTAATCATCAACAATTGCCCTCCCAAATTAATTGATAAGCTCCTTAGGAATCGTAAGAAAAATACCACTAACGCAGTTATTAATAGTAGTAATGATAGTGATAATAACAGAAACAATAATGGTAATAATGGTGTTGATAATGATGTTAATAATAGTAGCGGCAATACTGTGAATAGAGGATTCAAACCTCCACTGTATTACCATATAAAGAAGACACCTCAGAAACACTACGTAGAATTCTCAATAAGGCTGGGATTAGAGTGACATTTAAACCTACAAACTCACTTCGAAATAAGCTTATTGATACTCCGGTAGCTGAACACGGATTATTTGAACGTTGGATTTTACCAAGCCGGTCCTGGAGGTGTTTCTGTGAACCGTGCAAATATCGATAATATATATCAGCGACAAATCAACCTATCTGAGTCTGTGCTGCTTACCTATGATCCCACAAGGACTAGTAGAGGTCAAATTGGTCTTAAAGCTTATCGTCTTTCCGAAGCTGTACTTGCTGCTAGGTTTGAAGCTGAGGAACGTCTTCGTCTCAGTGGGAATCAAAAGGTTAGGTATCATACTTTTGTCGCTTGATATGTATAAAATTTACCCATACCATTCCCGACAGTCTATAAGTTCAATTACGTCTCATTTTCATACCTATAGGAAGTACAATGAGTAATTTTTTGGAACTTTTATTAGAAGCTCTTTCCCTCTCTCAGATTTAACGTTTGAGAGTAGAAAGAGATGAGCCTATGGTAACCCTGTGATGGAATTCTGTGTTTGTCCAGTCCTCTCGGATGAGTCAATTAACAACAGGCACTTTCTAGAAATAGCATTGCGATATAGGCATTTTTCTTGGGGACTGGACATGTGGTGGGTCAGAATTTCACGCAGTGTTTGCACCTGTTGATAAGTTTTAACGGGTACCCATCCTACATCTTGCATCACCAACAGCTTGGTTTCATCTTCCTTTATTTCATCTGTACAGGTGCAATCCATCCTGTTAAATGAATATTTAATTAAACCATGTTTGTATTGAACTGGAAGCGAAGGTATTACTCTATGCAGGTAGGCTCTCTGTAGATTCATCCTCTGGTCAAGTCATCCTATCTTCATCTGGGCAAATGACTAAGCTTGGTATCTGGTTGCTCGTCTCTTGTTCGCAAGTAAGACTAATGTAATTTTGAATCGTCATCTCCAGCAAGTGCATCTCATCATCAGGCTTGTCACATATAAAAACTATGTCATTGACACATTTTTAAAGAAGTTAAACACTCCTAATAAGGTCTCTAGCAGGTTTTCAAAGTATGTCGTCCACATATTGACTAGCGGAGGTCGCATCACCAATTTCTTAAATATATTCACTCTGAAATGTGAACTGAACTTTGTCAGTGCAGACTAATTATTATCATCATGATAAATTTTTCAAAAGAGTAATAGGAATATAGTAAAACTGTTCGAAGAAACACAGACATTTAATGTCATATTTGCTAGTGGTACATTAGTAAATAAAGAATGTACACCGCAAGAGTACATAGTCTTATCCTTGATATTAATATCACTTGAGCAGTCAATTAGACCAAATATATCTTCCGTTGGGGACTTCAATAAACAAATTCTGATAATATTCAAGAGTTTTGTCAGGTTATATATGTGTGAACAACACATACAATGTGGCACTTGTTGGATGGTCAGATTCATATGTTTTAAGTAACCTATATAAAAATGAGTATTTAGATACCAAAATTTTTATATAATTGGATTAATCTGTTTTATTCAAATTCGTGTTGGGCATTTTCACCAGTTTAAAGTTTAATCTTCTCAATTCAGTCGTCTAAAATCCATTGAGCTGGTAACGTCTCTGACTGCAGCATCAGCCCGAATAGCCCGGTTGCAGCGTCGCTGACTTCAGTACTCAGTGAGGCAGGTCTGAATCTCTGAGGAGATATCAATTCTCTTGTGGTTACACATACGCCTTTCTTGATGAGTACCAACAAGCGTGCAACCTAGGACTAAGGTTTCATGCAGATTGCCTTCAATCAACTAACATGCCACTCACTGTCCAGAAGGCTATCTTTTCAACTTCACCCAGCAGTGCTATGTCATGTTTACTCTAGATCTGCTTAGTCTTGCAACAAGATCAATCGTAGTAAGGTCAAATGAAGAGAGGCAAATATCCATTAGTACGCACGACTAAATTTACTATCAATGGAGAGAACATACGTCCTTGATAAACACCACTCGATGTATACATTTCACCTGACACTTCACTGTAGGCTCAAATACATAACTTTCAACAGGGTGTTGCCCTTATCCGGTAGCCTTTTCACTGATAGACAGTGCCACCATACCTTTCAATCGATGGAGTCTAATGCGGATACTTGGGCCCGTGTTCCAGAACCTGGTGGAGGGTGAATATCCAGTCGATATACGCACGGCCAGGTCTGAAAGCTGTCTGGGACAATCAGTGATTGAGACTAGTCAGAGGGGATCGTATCTGATTTCCGTAGGTTAGCTAGCACTTCATTTGACCTGACTAATCCTCGACAACCGTTCTTGTACACATCCAGTACTGGCTCATCTACTCTTCTTCACTTCCGCTTGTTTCAAACCTCAAATTGTGCGGGTATGGAAGCATATCTCAGTGCTCCAGTCAGGAAGCATAACAATAGTTGGAGGCCAGTTTAACTGTTTCTCGAAGTGTTTCGCTTATCGTTGCAATAATCTCCCCTGAAAGTGGCTTGCAGATCCATAATTTTCTGTCGTCTCACTGACCACTGACAATTTTATCCAGGTTTCCTTGATAAGTCTGAAGAACTGTCGACTGTTACCAATCACTGTTACCTATTCCATGTCTTTGGCTTTCACTACTCACCACTGCTCGCACACGTTGTGCAGACTTCTTCCCAGTCTAGACGTGATTTGCTTCCACTCCGCATCGTATCCAGAACCTGGATGAGTGCTTTGATAAATACCCATCAGTGCAGGAAAAGCTGCTGAGATCCATTGACTCTTTCTAGCTTTTTTGAGGGTTAGTTACAGTTTTTAACGCTATTTTTTTACATCAGATAGGATATAGGGTTAGAACTAGTAACGTCTTGTTGTGATAACTATCCAACCAGTTCCTTGTTGAAATCAGCCTTAGCATTCACTATTGAGGTGTATCTGTGGTTTTCCCGCATCCATTTGAGCACAGACTGATGCTTGATCACCGATGCTATTACTTGATTCACTACATTAGAGTACTTTGAACTCAATCCATTGACTAAGAACTGTATTGCTAGTCTACTCAACTAAAAGTTGCATCAAATTTATATTTAAATACACTCTGTTGCTTCATAATGTTCTTATTGATGTTTGCTTTGTGATTTTTACTTCATTCGTAGGGTCCTGAGGTTCCATGGGAATGTGTAAGTCTATATTCGCTCAAAAGCTTTGTCATCAAACAATTTTGGAATGAGCTTTTTATATCCGTTATTTATTTTATTGTCTCATATGCTACTATTTTACATGCTTCGACGGTTTGTCTAAAGCTAATTCCCTGTGAGAAACCTGATGGTTGAACTGATCTAAAGGTTGTTTCAGTGTTTTAGATGACTTGATTATCCGAGTGGAGTCAGCTAGAGCACGGCGAATGAGGTAAACTGTCCTCCAACATCTAGATAATTTCCATCTAGCTAGAGAACACTCTTCTGAATGAGTGATGGACTAGTTAAATCAATCATTAGTTATGTCTTATACAATCCTGTTGTTCACAATCTCGACACCACTTATAATATTGATCAAATCACATTTTATGTTCTGTATATTCTGGTTTCCAACGGAAACCACGGTGAAAGTTCGCAGTTGAACCTCACCTAATTCTGTCGTCATCATCTATTTGAAGACATTTGAATTGATTTTAAGGTTGTTAACTTACAAGGTTAAGTAAAATGAAATTTGCAACTTTTTGTCGTTGAAAAACGTAACTGGTTTTTATGTGGAAATGTCGTGTGTATCTAAAATGCGATCGGTTATATGTTGGTATTTATTTTTCATTACTTCGTATATGAGTAAGTAAATTATTGACAGTTCTCACTCATAGTTCTTATCTTGCTTACTGTGTATCCAAACCTATACCACTGTTCTTTGTGCTGTCATACTTTCATAGCTCCGAAACTTCATCTATCAGCATTGCGTTGAAGTATTTCCCTTTACTAGCTAATTAACATACACTGATGCTGCGATGATGCCTGTGTAACACAGCTTATTTAATCAGTTAGGTTTTATTACCTACAGATGGTTCAGTTTTACTCTGCAGGTTAGCACAAACTAGTTTTGAGTATTTTTCTGTATTGCTCAAATAAGCGTAGTTGACTCTGTTAATATAAGTCGTTGTTTTAGACACAACTATATCCTATTCTACTTGTTCAAGTTTCAACTGACATAGTTCGATGCTGTTCATGGTAAAGAGTGTGCCTTTTGACTAGATTGCTTTGGTGTCGAACAACTTGAATTTGATTCTTGTAGTCCTCCCTATCTGTAGCATGAGTTAGACAGTGTTTGAAATAGTTAAATCAATTTTAAGTTTTTGTTTTGGATTCATTTTAGGAGGCAGCAGGTAGTGTTGGTCGTAGCAGTTTTACTCGTGTTTTGGAGGAAATACCAGTTGTAGTACATAATTCACATCTTGTAAATATTCTTTTAACGGAGATTGTTGATAATCAAGAATTTTCACGGTCAGAGCTTTCTGCAAATTCTTCAATACTTGATCTGGCACCACCCCTTCCAACAGATCATCCTGGCCGTTACTCTACTCTTAATTTGAGCATGGCTTCTAGTTTGGAGCAACAGCTACGTTCTCTGCTTGCTGGTCTAGATACCGTACATGACTACCAATATCTGTACCAGCGCAGTTTAACTAAATCTCAAACTGCCATCACTGGCAAGGTAAGTCATTAGGGTTGATTGTAATTGAGACTATCTGTGATAGTTGTGGTTTGGTAGACTGATGTTTATATTATGGAGTGATGGTTAAATTTGAAACGAAAACCTGGGTTTGGGTAGGATTGGAATCATTGGCCTCTGGGGATGTTATATCACTGAATTTGGTCTTTATTTTCAACATATAATGTTTTCCACTCGACTAATAATTGTATTTACCTTCTGTAGAGTTATGGCTTATTGACGTAGACAGTCATTAGGTCCAAGCTTCACCCCCGTCTACTGGGGTTTAGGCAACCAGGTAATGTTACTGACCTTTACATCTTTGAGTGTAGTTTACTGTCTAAAGCATAAATCTACTGGTGGTCTCTGAGCTACATGCATACTTTATGGTATTAGTCACATGATTTGTACTGATTTAACACTACTTATTTTCACTTACATAAGCGGACAGTTTGAACAAGTTTGTGCATGGTTCATCGGTTTTCTAGTGTTAATACTGTTCACCTAATTTTCAGATTCTAATTGACACTTTCTTGGTGTCAGCGAAATTCGGCCTTTTTAGAATATCCTGTTCTAACACCTAGCAAACTTTAAGTTTCAGTGTAGTCTGAAAACTCATTTGGCCTCATTTCCAACTTCAATACTTTGATAAACAGTGATCATATAACTACTAGTCGACGTTCTCAAGAGGTAAGCAGATGACTTTTCTCATTCAGTACATGAGGAAGCCCTGATTACGCTTTGGTTCAAACGTGCTTGTGACTTCCTGGATGGTTACCTTAATATTATCTGTCAGAATTCAATGACAGTCCCGAGAATGCATTTCAAGAAGAACTTGGTAGTTATTGGAGGATAGCAGGTACATTCAGCTTGATACAAACTTTCACAAATAGTCTGTTCTAGAAACGGAAACCAAAATGTTAGCAAGCTACCACCATTACTACTACTAGTATTATCGGAAGTCATAAAACGGTAATGCATTTCGTTGAATTTTTCAAATTAATTTCTGCTAAATGATTCAGTTTAGCCAATTACGAACATAAGGCAAATAAAATGTGAACTAAAAGTGACCTCAGTAACCACGGGCAGCGGTGATTGATAAAGTCATGCCCTGGTGGCATCGTTACTGTAATCTCGGTGTTCCTGTTGTTGATTTCTATCTGCTGTTTTTAAGATGTCTATTTAAATCAGCACAGTTTTGCTGGTTTCTGTCCATCTTTTGTGCCTATCATCGTATGCACAAACTAGCTGGTACTTTGGATGGATATTTTTGTCATTGATGACTTTTTTTGAATTAAAGCAAATCGTACAGGTTGTAGTGATAACTTTTCTGTTACGGGTCTTCTGCTTGTGAGAGGTTTGATCACTCATAGGAATCATTCTAATGGTGGAAGTATGACTTTTCGTTGAGCAATCTTGCTATGAGACTAATTTATCTCGGTCTTATTGTTCTTAACTGAACTTTTCTAGTAATGCAAGCAAATGTTCTAATCGGTGTTGACAGACTGATCTGATCATAGTATCATATATAAGGGGCTGATGTCAAAACTTGGAGTTTCTTGACCATTTGAGTTATCAGATGCGCATATAAACTGTCATTTTAAATCTCTCTAGTAAATTATTTTTCCTGAGTGTTAGTCTCTTTCGGAAACTTTAGTTTAAGAGCATGGTAAGCGAACTTTTAGTTTCAGCTCCAGTTTGTGCGACAGAATATGGTAAGCTAATCCTTTTGGCCTTAAAAAAACACCTATTTACGACATTTTTCATAATGAATCACATGTAGGATAAATCCCTAGAACTTTATCACTTTTTATTATGTAAAGATAGGTTCATACTTAACACATTACTAGACAGAAAAATTAAAATCAATTCGTTGCAAGTTTGTGTGCTAAGCCATGAGTTACATCTAATATATGATGTCTACTGATAACCCCTGGTTAGCAAGATGACGCTACCTATAATTTCGGTTCTCGGAAACTTGTCATCCTTAAATATTACTACATCAACATTGCTTGAGGACTGATCTGTGCTGGCACTCTGCGTTATACAATAAGGAGTGAAGTGGTTAAGCAAGTCGACCATTTCATTTACTTGAGAAGTCAGTAGGCGACGAAATCTCTAAAAGTATACAAAAGGTCCAATCGGCTTCCTCCAAATGCGCCACTTAGATCACCCTTCTGATATCCGACTGCCTATTAAGTTTCGGCTGTACTGCACTACAATGCTTTCTTTTCTACTATGTAGTCTTGAAACAAAACCATTGAGGATAAAGGAAATGGGACGTCTTCGGTGTTCGAACATCGTTGCCTTTGGTAACACAGGCTGTCGTAAAAACTTCACTTAACTGACGTGGGGTCAAGTGTAAAGTTTTCTGCAGGATAGCAAAGTCAGTTGATGAGGTTGTAAACCTTCATAGACTCAGATGTTTGAGACGTGTTACTCATGCCTAGCCACCGTATTAAGTAGCGTCCCACAATGTAAGGTGAGTAAGGATTATAGGTGACTAGAGTAAAACATGGCACCAGTTCATGAATTGTTTACTGTTCATTTGAGCTGTGTAATAAGATTTAAACTTCTCGGTCGGAGCCTGCGTGACAACAATAGAAATCGGTGGTTGGAGACTAGGGGATATGGCTCAAATTGGGTGTCATTGGTGTAGCCGCGTCTACATATTATCCTAAACTTGTCACCATTGTTTTAATCCTTCCTCTTCTCTCGTTATGACTTTCTACTACTTTTAATTACTTTCTGCCTTATTTTTCTAGCTTAGATCCTGACATTTTCTATGTTGGTGTGCTGGTGTGAGATGTCGCAGCCAGGACCCTCTATGCAGTAATGCCATGTCTCACATTGATAGTGACTGACCCGAGGAAACACTTTCTATGAGGCCACTAACTTCCATCTATGACTAATTCTAGGAAGAGATAGCTCTTATTGTAGTAACTATGCTTCCCATGTCATAACACTCAGAGGATCATTTTACAAGTGTGCCTTATCATTAAAGCTCCATGATTAGAAATATTTTTCAGACCTGTTGTGGCGTTCGGTGTGTGTGTGTGTGAGTTGACCATTTTAAAAATATGCGTAAAAAATGCTCTTAGTCTTCAGCAAAGCAGTATGCTGACTAATCGATGTTGTTATTAGTAGAATTTGAAGTAACAATAATTTGTTAAATGTTATTCCTCTGAACGAGATCTGAAAGCTAGTTAGCCGATAAATTTAGTTTAGAAAATATTATTATTTTAAGCGCCATAAATGTAGACTTATTGATTTTTCTGTGTTTTTTTAATTGATTTCCTTCCTTATCATAGTTATCATTTATTTATATCCTTAATTTTACCCGTTATCATAAATATGTAGCCGACGACGGAAACACGTAACCGGGAGTTAGCACCAATTCGTCTGGATACCGCGTTGATATCGGCTCAACTTGATTTCTATTGTAACAGTCTTTCCCAGATGGCTGGTCAAACAATGGGTAAATTGATGCTTACACAGGCTGTACAAGAGGCAAGTTTAGCTGGTACCACTAAATCTCAAAGACTTTAGAAGATAAAATGGTCTTTCATGAAACTGTTGTGTATAACATGAAAAAAGTATATATATATTATGGTGTTTGTAAAATTTTCTTTGTTTACTTTTTCGCGTGTGCACAGTTTCAGTTGGATGTTGTTAGTAAAGTCTTCAAAATATGCTAATCTGTAGTATGCTAATATCAACCGTTAGTGTAAGGCATCTCTGAAAAGTTTCTGACTAATTATCGACTGTACATTACTCGAATCTGTACTAATTTTGATGTGTTGAAGCGTCTATAATTTACTTGTCAACTCGGTAGATGAAAATGTTCAAAACTGATATATACTTAGGCTGTTAATATGTCTGTCTATCTATCTGTTTGTATATTTCGACCATTCATGAAGATAGAAAGTTATCCTTGAAAAGAAATACTTTTTTTGAAGCTTCTCTAACGTGTACATCATTACAAGCGTGTGCTTGCTGAAGTGTATTCCACAACATTGTCATTGAGATGAAAACATGATAAGAATAATATTCACTATGTTTTGTTTTATTCATCATATAATCCAACGATAACATTTAAAGAAAGAAAGGAAGAAGTTGAAGTAACATTTTGTTATTAGAATATAAGAGTAGATTTCAAGTTGTTATTCATCGTAGACTGACATCAGTTGGAGGAACAAAGGAAAGCTGGGAGCACTGGACAGCTGTTTCGTCCCACTAATATGGGACTCCTCAGCAGTGCGCACCCACGACCCCACACCAGCAGGGACCGAACCCGCGACCTTCAGGTTCCGTCGCCAGCGCGTTACCATTGAGCCACTGGGTCAGAATCCAATGCTCCATATTTCCAACTTCTGTTAGCTCACGATATAGCGCAACCGCTACCCAATGTCATCGTTGAGTATCTGTCCTCATGGCCATCAGGCTTTGACTCCACCGGTCACGACTTGTCATTGGAACTTCGGGAATACTTCTCGAAACTAGTCACCAATGAGCACCAGTTCAATTAAATTTTGAGGGAGTTGTGGAGATTTGCAAATATTTCAAGTTGTTATTCATCGTAGACTGACATTAGTTGGAGGAACAAAGAATGAAATTGGGTGGCGGTTGCACTATATCGTGAGCTAACAGAAGTTGGAAATATGGAGCATTGGATTCTGACCCAGTGGCTCAATGGTAACGCGCTGGCGACGGAACCTGAAGGTCGCGGGTTCGGTCCCTGCTGGTGTGGGGTCGTGGGTGCGCACTGCTGAGGAGTCCCATATTAGTGGGACGAAACAGCTGTCCAGTGCTCCCAGGTTTCCTTTGTTCCTCCAACTGATGTCAGTCTACGATGAATAACAACTTGAAATATTTCCAAATCTCCACAACTCCCTCAAAAATAAGAGTAGATTGTTGAAAAGAATAATATGAAATCATATCTACTTAAAAATGGATATTTGTATTGTTGTATCCAGTGTCTAATTCTTTTATCCAAGAATTATCACTTTTCAATGAACAATCTTCATTCAGCCGTTTTATCGTTACTCTTCCTGTTAAGCTGTCAACACCATTCTCATCATCATTATCATCTTTGAATAAGTTAGTATTGTCAGTATTTATCAATTCTATAGCTGAAACCGAAGCAACTAAATCATACATTTCATCAAGTTTTATTTCTTCATTTTCTGCACACCTCTTCTTTTTTGATAGTGTAATTGTAGTTCTGCTTATTTCTGTTTGATGACTGTCTAATGAATATCCTAGTTGTTTAAAATCTCCTTTAGCATTATGATAATCCAGAAGTTCATATTTTTCATCGTCATCATTATTAGTACTTGTATTATAATCGTAGTTGTCTGATGACAGGTTCATACCCAGTTTTGAGAAGGGTGAATGGTTTATTGATTTTCTGTCTTTAAAGAATCGTGTCTATTAGTCGTTTAGCCTAATATTATATCATACATATTTTTCCTTTGGGTTCCTAGTGGAACATAGGGCTTCAGTAGCACACCTCCATTGCACTCTGTTTTCTGCAGTCTTTTGAACCTGACACCACGTTTGCCCACAACCTTTCATTTCTTCCTCCATGTCACCTTCACGTCGGACGCCCAACTCGTCGTTTCCCCTTTGGATTCCACTCGAGGGCGTCGCTTGGTGCATGATGTCCCCAATCGGCCTTCTCAGTGTATGCCCAATACATCTTCACTTTCTTTATAATTCATATCTGATTGCTGTCTTATAGTTTATTCATTGGGATGGATAAGAATTCATTTCGGGTTAGTAAAATTCTCAGGTAGGATTCAGTGTGCAACCTCTTGGCTTCAACTTGCTATCATTCGCAACTGTATATATAGAGATGAAGAAAGTAAAACTGGAAAGAATGAAATATTTAAGGAGAATTATTTGTTGAGAGTAAATGGGATGTGAAGTCGTAAACCGTTCAGATTGTTGAGGAAGATAAAGTGGAAGCATCTGCATTGTTATAATCGAGTTTAATCCATATGAGCTAATGCAAAAAGCCATTGCTTCTTAGTATTTTCAGGACGCTTACCAGATGGTTGTCAAATGAGTTGATAGCAACTAGTGGTGTCTGGCAGGAATGTCCACTGTCACCGTTCCTATTTGACTTCGTCATAGACGCACTGATGGACCCAACCTTAGGTACGTGCAACTTCACAGGAATTAGCCTACTATATGGAGGTCATCTAGTTGACTTGGAATATGCAGACGATATTGTCCTACCAGTTGAAGACACTGACAAAACGTAAGGTCTTCTGAAAGCCTTGAGCAGAAATCTGTGTATATTTGGTTGGCATATGTTTCACACCTGTCAGATGTAACATGATGCTACAGGACTGCTGTGCAACGACTCGCAGCTTAATGGTATGGAGTGAAGTGATGGAATGTGTCAACCACTTCACTTACTTGTAGAGTTGCATCAACGCAAACGAGCTAGTTGATGCAAAATCTCAGCTCGGAAACAGAAGGTCCGTTTGGCATTCACCAACTTACCTCACATGTGGCGTCGGCGAGATATCTGGCTATCTATCAAACGATAAATATACTGCACTACAGTCCGTTCTGTTTTTTTTGTACAGCTGTGAGACATGATCTTTCAAGGTAGGAGACATGAAACAGTTACAGCTTTTCGACCAGAGGTTTCTTCGTAGTATTGGTCGTGTGTGGTGGATTCACCATGTGAGAAATGTTGAGGTCAGACGAAGGGTACTACGTAAGACAGCCAAGTCGATTGATGAGGTTGTGAATGTTAGTCGACTGAGATGGCTTGGACATGTACTGCGCATGCCCGAGTTACCACCTACCTAGACGTACCATGCTAGAAGTTGGATTATGATGGAAAAGGGTTCTTGGTGGGCAGACCAAGACCTGACACCAGTCCATGAAATCCCTGACTGTTGGCTTGAGCAGTGTGGAGAGGTGTAGACTGCCTGGTTGTGGTCTTCAAGACGAAAGGAATCAGTGACTGAGGACTGGAACTTAGTGAAATGGCTGAAAACCGGTCACAACGGTGCAGATATATTCACTCCTTGACGTCTTCTAAAGCTTGAATATTCTCACTGACCTTTATCTTCAGATTGTTTATTCTTTCACACTACTTTACCTACTTTGATATCACTTTTTCTATCCACTTGTTATTTGTTTACTTCTGTGAAGTGTAGTAACTTGAGCCGATGCATTCTTGTGCAAGGTTCCACGTTGGCTTTGTCAGTCAGTCAGTTTTATAGTTCATCCTAACTTTTTCCTGTTTAATCCTACTGCGTCTAGCATCTGACGTTGAGATGATAGTTACCTTGACGAGTGCGTAGCATCAAGTGTTTATTATCGCTTTCTCGCTTCTAGTACCTAACATAAATCAGTATGTGCTTATCATACCTTTTTATAGATAGAGGTCTTCGATAACAAACATTGAACCCTATGTTTATATCTTTTTGACAGGTGCATTTGTAGAATGGAGGTGTAACTTATACTCCTGACAGTCAAAGTTATATTTTTCTCTGCTCAATTCGTTGATATTACTAATAGAATATTCAAATCATAACTGAATTTTGTCCATAGTTTAACACTACAGAGTTTTGTTTAGCCTAGGGATGTCATTGTAGACCATTAGTGGATAAACTCCAACCAGAATTGAAACCCAATATTGTTTTATCTTAAAAAGATGAAAGTATGGATAGCTAAAGAATCTTTCCAGAGAAAATGTATGTAATGAATTTGTTATTATTGTTATTATAATAATCAAGATGTAGAAAAAAATATGTTAGAATCAGAAAAGTCTTAGTGTGACTATGTTAATGTTTGGTGTATTTTTACTGGAGATCTGGTAGTCAACACAAAAAATAACAACATCACAGTTAAACAAATGTTAAATCTCCATTTGGATCATAGATTGGCTTGTATTTATTGTAAAGATTTTGTAATTGTTTCAGATATAACTCTTTCAGAATTGATATTTGTTCTCTGGTAGGATTTGGATTCTTCTCACAATATATTGGTCGTCCAACTTTATTCAATAGGTTCAAGAAAAGTTTTAAAAAGTATAGTTATCATCTAGGTAGTTAATTAAATAAGCAATTTACATATCTTGGGTTGTTTTAACTTGCTAAGGAACAAAAGTAATTTATACAGCTTTGGAGCACAGCTAGAATAATACTCTGAAGACTTTAAATACTTCAAAACTCAATTGTATAAGAAATGCTTGAATTTCGAAAAATTTAGTCTGTTAACAATTCGGTTGATATATTCATGGAAATTATTTTGGGGTTGCTGAACCAAAATGTTCAGGTTCTTTAATAAAGTATCAATAAGCAATTGAATTTGGAGTTGTGGCTCACTGGTTTATGGAGTCGACTTTCGACCGATGCGTCACGGGTTCGAGCACCGCTTCACTGACTGTTGTTTGAACAACCAAGCCTCACACAATCGATGTGGCTCATTACCTACTGCACGAATGTGCACGTGGTTGCTGAGTGTTTTTCGATTTCGAAGCAATTGAACTTAAGTGTATTTAAGCTTGTATTGATCTGAAGTCATTCACGAACACAGTGGAGTTCATCCTACTATACAGAAGATGTATTCAAGGGTTGACCTGTTTATCACAACTGCTGGAAATAAATAGAGTCTGATGAGAAATCTTGGTTTCAAAAGAAGAATGAATTTTGATAGCTAAATGTGCCTTTTCACTATTATTTTAATTCATTATTTCATCCTCCTATCAAACTCTTTGTATCAACGGTAAGTCTCGTGTGCTTTCCTTAGTTTAAACAGCTAGATGTATGACTGACCGATCACTAAGTTAAAGCCAGCGAAACCAAGGAATCGTTGACTTGCTCAGCTAGTACGTAGGTATATGTAACTTGAATGGCTACATTACGACCAGTGATTTCATCACTAGTTGAGACTTATAAACAGGTACACAGCTTATTTCGCAACTGGGTTCGGACTAACGCCTTGTAAGTTATTGTCATGGTGTTCTACCGTTTTGCATTGTATTTGGTTGTCGTACGAATAGTTCTTCGAGAATGGAAAGATGAGAGTGAACAGCTGTTTTCATGGAATTATGGCAGGCATATATCTCATTTATACGGCACCCCAGTGACAGTCATGATCGATTTTGGTATCAAAGAGATGAAACCACTCTTACGTAAATCTACTTTTCTGATAGTCGGTGAATGACTTGTCTCTTTCCTACTTTCTTACTAATCAAGGCCTAGGGAACTACCAAGTTTCCTTGGGGTTAACGCTCATCTTAGTTAAATCTCCATTTAATATTGCGTTTTCATTATCTCAGGACAATAAAATGCAAACACCTGTTTATTTTCCGTTTATGTCATGGGATCCGACAGATGACTTCCACTTTGACTTGGTAATCTGTCTTGCATATCTCAATGACCTAAACGGCTCTGCTGGTTAGGCAACTTGTCCATATGAGGTTGTACCATGCTAGAAAGGTCTGTTAGTGGTAAACTGAAGAAAGTTACCAGCATAGTGTCAGTAGCTACTGTTCGATGAAGGAAGGTGTCATAGCAGTATGGTATTTTCTACGGATCACCAGCCGTACCATACTGGTACTGCCTTTCTTATGCAAAGGTGGGGATTGGAAATGGCTAGCTCTAAAAACAGCATACTCCTCCCTGTTTTGGGGCTGGCGGTATGGATCTTTCCTAGCTGGATCTGTGTCAATCAAAGACAAAACCTTAAACTTTCAAAAAGGCCATGTGTGACCGGTCTCAAACAGATGTCGTGTAGGCTCTTCGGCCACGCACTATTACTACTAATCCAATTTATTTGCCAGTTAACTTGGGAAGAAGTAACCTTCCACAGTGTAGGCATCCACTCTGTCAGCACTCAAGTTTCCTCAGATCATTATCAAACTAAGTTGCATCTTGATGACTTAAAGTAAGAAGCCGGTCAACGGTGGGATCTCATAGTTGAGACTTTGTGAAATGCTGAACAAAATAAAAACTGGTGATTTAAGGCTGTATGCAGATGAAGTCCAGTATTCATTCTTCTCAGACACTATCTGACCAAGTTTGAACTGGTAAAATTTACTGGTAACTAAACTAACATGGGTATGTATTAATTTCTCTAATGAAGTTGTATGTATCGATGATTACTTCAATTAGCATTACTGGAGATTGGAGCCTGGATATTATTTGCTAGATGAGAAGTTATTTAGGAACAAATCACTCATTTTTATCATTACCAGTGTATATTTGAAAAACATCATGAAGCTGTGACTGTTTGGATAAGACACTTGAATTTCATACAGGTTTAGATCCCGCTAGGTGAACGGTGCTTTCAGCTGGATATCACTACTCCTAGTCAAGTTTTCCGTATTGCTTAGCGCATAAACTTAATCGTGGTTTTTCAATTACATATCTTAATCTGTAGTACTTCTAGTTGCTGCTCAATCTCATTGAATGTTCGGCGTTTTATGCCGAGAAATTCAAAGTCTCTGAGTTTAGTTTCCTATGATGAGTAGTAGGTCTAATCATGGTTCCGGGAGTGCAGATGAAATCTGACTAACAGCCATCTTAGCGACCATCTATGTGATATCATCATCTTATCACTTGTTCGTTTTATCGACAATAATAGAGTGAATATTGAAACTTTCATCACGAAAAATTCTCTTTAGGCATTCAGCTGCTTTTCCAACAATCGGAACTTCACCGCCTATCTATTTAATCGAAAAAAAATTCTAAAAAAATAAAGTAGTATAATCAACTCACTGACAGTATTGACAGTTGCACGATAAGGTAATAAACAACGAGCATAAAACAGTGGTGGTGAGAATGTAGCCATTTCAGTAAATCGATTTTGAAGGTGTCTTATACAACTGCCTTCTGGATTATGTACTTGTTTATACATATTTGGTTCGCCAAAGGAAACACATGGTACCAAGTCCGAACTAAAAACAAGCGAGAGAAATGCCTGACTTTATCAATTGGTTGGTATAACATTCAGTGTTCAAAATATCAAAAGCGATCACAATAAGAAGATACTTTTCTTGTTATCATTACCAGATATTTCCCAGTTCACTTGACAGAATAATATATTGGTGCAATCCTATTATAGTTGTCGTATTATGTATATCACAAGGATTATTTACTGGATGACGTTTTGAGCGCAGTTCACTGGTCATTATCGTGCTACCAATGTGTGCTCAGAGTGAGTTTTCTAAGCTTGGTTTTTAGGTGGGAAACACTCCGATGTCTGCATCGCAGTTTCGCAAGAAAGTCAAGTTGTAAGTTGTGCTTCAGAATTTATAACGTTCACTTTGCCTGAGTGTAGTCTGATTGGTCTCTTGTGGGTGTATGCTGAACCTGATTGGTTGACTTCCTATCGCTGGTCTTCTCAGAGGGGTGTGTAACTATGTGATTAGTTGACTTTTGTTTGTTTACAGTGCGTTTAGGTCATTTCATTGTGATTGTTGGACTGAAGTGAAGGTTGCGTTGATCAGATCGATTGACTCATACGCAATGATGGGGGAATGCTTTACTTCGATTGGTTTGTTTTCTCCTACTGAAGCGGGATTCTTTACTACTTCTGGCTGGTTAGATTCTATGGAAGAGGGTGATTCTTTTGTACGGACTGGTTAAGTATGGAGTTTAGTTAGTCATACGTGAGTTATCTTGACCTAATTGATTGTTGGTCTTTTTCGTTGTGTCCAAGATTCCTTTACCTCTAGATCGGTTAATCTATGTAACTGATTTATTCCGAATAGGCTCGTTGTTGCGTAACACTGAGACGTTTACCAGCTGAAGCCCTAGCGTAGAGAACAAATCACTCCTAACATCCACATTCTGAGCTACGTGTATTCAACACAATTTCTATATCATTGTGTGATGCATATAATAGAAGAATTATGATGAAATTGCGACCTACCACACTGCCTAAGTCCTTACCCTTATATTAATGTACTTGTGTAAACAACTACTTTGAGGATTTTTATCGCTAACCTTCATGAAATTACCATTTCTTTTGTCATCCTGTCAGATTTTATGGAAAAAAAGTATTGTTCACAATCTTTCGTGTATGTATGTATTACTGTTGTCAACTTCGAAATAATCCACTGGAAAGATGAGCCTAATGCGACGGGATTCAAGTTCCGATAGAGTGACTTTAAAGGCCATCCTAGCAACAAGTAAAATAACCAATTAGGTTTCTCTATTTCTGCTCGAAAGGCAATTTTCATGAAATACAGAACTCTATTTGGTTATCTTGACAGTTGTTAGAGTGGTCTTTAAGATCACTATTCCCATGCAGAGTGACTCCAAGAACTACCCTATTGACTGCTGAAATAACCAATCAGATCTCAATATTCAGCACTCTGGTATTTGAAGCGTTCGGTTCTGAGTTCGAGTCCTAGTGGGGAAAACATCGCTCACCGGGAGGTAGATACATCCAGCTGACGAGTCCTAAGTAGGTGTGTTCAACCTTTCATTATAGCCATATACTATAAATGACATACTTACCCAGTCAGTAATGCTAATTTAAAGAAACCGTATCGTCGATTAGTATGGAAGACATATTTCCCAGGACGTGAATCCAATGCTTCAGGAGCACCACCCAAAACGACTACAACAAAATTGCCTGTCTTTCCACATTGTTTCGGATCAAGCAGGTATGAAATTCCTTTGTATGTAGCTGAGACAAGATCTGAATGTTTAAAACAAAACATTTTACCAATTTCGTTGGTTCGTTTTCATGGGATGAACTTTAAAATATGATATCGAAGGGTAAAACTAAATATATAATACATCGAAAATATGTCACACTTGAAATTGTAACCGAAATAGAAAATGGTTTGAAATATAGTAATCATTAGTGACTTGCTTCGACATGAGATTTCTGCAGTTCTAGTGAAAAGCTGTGACCGGTGAGATCAAATAAGACAATTACTGAACCACAGCATTCATTGGAGGTGACGCTATATTGCGAATTGACAGAAGTAGGAAATATGGACCATTGTATGCCCAGCTAAGACTCAGTGGTAATGTGCTGGCTGCGTAACCCGCAGATCCTTGGTTAGATCCCTGGTGGGCCAATGCGGGCGCACCGTTGAGGGGTACTATGCTAGGAGGAAACAACTGTCCAGTGCTCCCAGGTTTCCAATGGTTCTTCTAGTGATGTCAGTCCGTAGGGGGTATTAACATGAAATAAATAAATAAGTACCCACAAACCTCGAAATTTGACCTTTGTCGGTCTCCCTATTTTCATCACAGTAAGAAGAACCCAACTTCGCCTGGTTAACTAGTTCACTAGTTACTAGCCGGTCCTAACCCCGCGTAAAGAGGGAAGGTTGGGCATAGTGCTAGCAACCCCACACCGGAAAACAAATATAACCGCTAAAGAAACTTCAAAGCACAAACGATATATAAAAAATAAAAACAAAATTATTCCTCGCTGGAATAGGAGAGGCAAAATGACACCAGTTGGTGAAAGCCTTCGGGAAGCCAATTTGGCCGATGTGTCTTCTCACTCTCGATGAAAGCGAAAGTAAGCATGGAGACGTGGAATGTCTGCAACATGTGTGAACCTAGCAAGGCTGAACAGATTGCGAAAGAGATGAGGGGAAATGGAATGCAAGTTCTTGGAATCTGCGGAAGCAGATGGAATGGAAATGGACTCTCGAAACTGTCAACTAGAGAGGAGAGTCAATAATCTACTCCGATATTGTCATCCAGACGACAACCACGAGCATATGGAGGGAGTGGCTATCATGATGTCCCCAACAGCATCAAAGGCTCTCTCTCATGCAGTGGGAACCAATCTCCTCCTGCAGGATCATGACAGCAAGGTTCACCTCAAAAGGAAGGAAGGAAGGTCACAATCATACAATGCTACAGTATGCACCTACAAATAATGCAGATGAAGAGAAGAAGGAGGAATTCTACAGACAACTGCAATCAACACTGGACAAGACCTCAGTTGGCAACAACAAAATCCATTCTAATGGGTGACATGAATGCCAAACTGGGAGGGGACAACACAGGAAGAGAACTAACCATGTGTCGAGAAGCGATAGGTGAAGTGAACCAGAATGCAAAATTGATTGTAGAATTCTGTGCATTCAAAGATTTGGTGATTGGAGACAGTGTGTTCAAGCACAAGGATATCCACAAAGCGACATGGATTTCACCAGACACCAGGACACACTAAAAATCAAATCGACTTCATCTCAATCTCAAGAAAATGGAGACACAGTCTACTTGACACAAGGTCAAGAAGAGGAGCAGATGTAGGCTCAGACCACTCACTGTCTGGTGCAAGCAACCTACCTTCCAAATCAGGTTAAAAGCCTTCAAGGAAGCTGGTGATGGACCGCAGTTAAAGTACAACATTCGGGAACTGAAGGATGAAACTACAAAGGAGATCTTCACATCAGCCATCAAGACAAAAAGGGGGATATCGAGGAATATCCCTGAAGAAACCTGTGTGGAAGAACACTGGAACTCTTTGAAAGCTATGTGGAAAGAAATCTGCACAGCCGTATTAGGAAGGAAGAAGACGCGCCAAGGTAAGGAATGGATCTCGACGGATACCTGGAAGCTGATAGAGCAGGGAGAGGAGGATGGTGAAGCAGAAGATAAACCAGTGCAAGGATGCTCAACGACAAGAGGAACTGAGTACAATGTATAAAACACTGGACAAAGAAGTGAAGAAGAGTGCACGGAAAGACAAAAGACACTTCTACGACACACTGGCAAGTGAAGCAAAACAGACTGCTGTTAGGAGAGACCTGACAACACTATGTCAAATAACCAGGTTACTGTCTATCTGGCAAGAAATCAATACAGATGAGACCAATGAAAGATAGTGAAGGAAATCTAATCACCAAAGGGAATAAACAAAGGAAACAATGGGCTGACCACCTCAAGAAGCTCTTGAATCGACCACCACCACCACCTGCACTTCGTCCAGAAATACCACCTACAACCGCTGAACTACAAGTGAACATAAATCCTCCAACAAAACTGGAAGTCCTGAACGCCATAAAGCTACTGAAATGTGGGAAAGCAGCAGGACCAGATGGAATACCGCCAGAAGCACTGAGAGCAGACGCAGAGACAACAGCGGACATGCACACCACTATTGTAGAAGGTGTGGAAGAAAGGGAAGGCACCTGGCGATTGGAAGAAGGGTTACCTTGTCAAACTGCCGAAGAAGGGAGACCTCAGTGCTTGCAAGAACTGGCGCGGAATCACTCTCCTGTCCACCCCATGCAAAATATTAAGCCGCATCATCCTAGAGAGGCTTAAAGATGCACTGGATTCAAAACTACGACCAGAACAGGCAGGCTTCAGGAAGTACAAATCATGTGCGGACCAAATCGAAACACTACGCTTCGCATCATCATAGAACAGAGCGTAGAATGGCAATCAGCTCTATACCTCAACTTCATCGCCTTTGAGAAGGCCTTTGACAGCGTCGACCGAGAGGTAATTTGGAAACTGCTTCATTACTACGGAGTACCGCAAACCTTTATCCGCCTCATTCAACAACTATATGAAGACGCCATATATCAAGTAATTCACAATGGGAAGCTCAGTGACACCTTTGAAGTGAAGACAGGAGTAAAACAAGGTTGCCACCTACTATCACCCATCATATTCCTCATTGTGGTCGACTCGACTCGACTGGATCATGCAACAAACTGTGAGGAACGAGAAGAGGGGGATACGCTGGATGGACCACGGAAAACAACCTACAACATTTGGATTTCGCCGATCATGATTTATGTCTAATGTCACACAAACTTGAAGATCTACAGGCGAAAACTAACAAGTTGGCAGAAGAGGTGAGGCAGGACAGCGAAGATGGGACTTCAAGTGAATGTAGAGAAGATAGAGGTGATGAAGATACTCAACCAACAACTCCAACAACAACAACAATCACCATAAACGGGAGAAACTTAAAGGAAGTAGTCTCTTTCACCTATCTAGGCAGCACTGTTTCAACTACAGTCGGCACACACGAGGACGTCAAAGCCAGCCAGGAATGGAAACACAGCAAGACAGGTATTCATTAGCCTGAAACCAGTGTGGAGATCTACTGCATTCAGCATGAGGAACGAGATCCGGATTTTCAACACCAACGTCAAGTCAGTGCTTCTGTGTGATGGTTCAGAGACTTGGCGCGTTACGAAAGGGATTTCCAATAAACTACAGACATTCATCAACAACTGCTTACGCTCGCTACTGAAGATTAGATGGCCAGAATAATAAGAATCAGCAACAAGGAACTGTGGGAACGAACCAACGAAGCAAGAACCTATCACTCAACAAATATGCACTGGAAGGAGGTGGAGATGGATTGGGCATACACTGAGAAGACTGACTGGGGACATCACGCGCCATTCCAGGCCAGGTCGTCGAGTGGAACCCGAAGGGGAATCGACAAGTTGGGCGTCCCAACCGAGAGCGACATGGAGGGGATCGTGAGAGGAGTAAATGAGAGTTTGTGGGCTGTCGTGGAGCCAGGTTCAAAAGATTTCAGAAAGCAGAGCGCATTGGAGATGTGCTACTGAAGCCCTATGTTCAATTAGGAACCCAAGGGACAAATAATAATAATATCCTGATGATGTATGAAAATAGAGGCTGAGACTTGACGACACCTCCTCAGTTAAGTATTCTCTCATTTTTCCCATTCACTGTCTGGAAACTGTTTCCAGCAGTAACAACCACAAGTACGAGGAGTAAATGAGAGTTTGTGGGCTGTCGTGGAGCCAGGTTCAAAAGATTTCAGAGAACAGAGTGGGATGTTCCATTAGGAACCCAAGAGACTAATGATAATAATAATAAAAATAACCTATCTCTGTTGGTTTATTAGGTGTATCACACAGTGGAATTGTATTATTCTGTGGATCACGTTATGGACAGAATTTATCGTCCAGTCATGCCAAAGTGATATAATTTTATAAGAATATTGACAAAAAATCTTGTCCAAAATGCAACCCAGTGTATAACACTGTTTAGCTGTGTAATGCATATAATGAACCAACTAATTTAGAGCTTTGAACAACGCAAAAGCAAAGACATTTGCAGAATAAAATGAGCTCATTTTCTTTCCATGGCCTTTTATCAGCTGCAAACAACCTACAATTGAAATAAGTTATTGGTAGTAACGATAACATAACATACTTTAAACACTCAGAAATAAGTGAAGATTTGAAAGCCAGGGTTAACAATAAGGTAGAAGTCAAGGATGGCGGCTAGCAGGGGGTTCTACGACGAAGGTCTTATCCCATTTGGGACCCATCATCTGTTTTTACCTGAACTCTAGTGTGAGATGGTGTTCCCGCTAAGACTCAAACACAGTACCAATCACCCCAAATGTCAGACCGCTACCCACTGGGCCATTAAGGTACGAGAACCACTCCTTGTGCAGCGGGTGCCAATAAGGCTTGGGTCAGAATGGCATTTAAACCAACATAATCATTTAGAAACAAGTTTGGTAGGTTAGAAAATCCTACTGATCCAATTATCGGCAAAATAATTTAATTTACTAAATCCCTTGCAATGATTGCGCGGTCAAATACATGGGTCAAAGTAATCGACCGGGTTCAGTTAGAATAACAGAGTACAGAAACCTAGCTAAATCAAGATTAGAAGATCCTAATAAGATAGGGAGTCTAGTGAAAAGCTCGACTATAACTCTGCATACAACTGCACACAACCACAATATAGGGTAGGATACAGTGATAGTATTAAAAACTAACTTAGTTGGGTGGAGCTTGATAACCGAACCTTTGTTTATCTAATGAACACCAAATACATTGAGTAATAAAAATA